GCCTTTATTTGCATAACTGTGGCATGGGGCTGGCTGGCTAGAAACCAAAAACCACTCCAAATGGCACAGAGGCGACAGCCATCTATGTCTTTTTCACATTTGGTTTCATTGTTTTAGGATCAAATCCAACCACTGCAACCTAACTCTAGACTTTTCAAGGCTCAGAGCTTTCCATATAGCACGGTCTGTGGTTTCACTGTGGAGAAGCAAACCTGGAAAAAAACTTGTTGGACTGGATCAGAAGTATTTTAGTTAGTGCAGCAGGAGCTGCCAGTGGTGAAAATAGCACTCCCGGAGCATGAATGAACGGAGTGGTGTTTCATTCTGTGCACGTTAGACAATTTAATCCTAACTTGGCATTATGGTTGCACTGGGCAGTTTGCTCTTGAGATATATTTCCATTGCCACGTAATAAATATAAATGCTTTTTATGAGATACTCATGGATGGAAGGCATCTAGTGGTTGCTAAAGGTTATTCTGATGATGTATATTCAAAGCCCTCCTGTTTGGCATTAATTAGCACAATGTACTATTTTGCAATTTCCCAGCACAGACGCATCCAGATTCCTGCTAGGAATTGGAAGTGGCATCCCCCGCCACCCACCCCTCCACCCAAACCAGACAGCACTGAGACAATCCCTCCCTCACATGAAGCTTGTGTATCCCCCACAACCCCATGGCAGGGGGCATGCAGGGGCTTGGAGGATGCAGGATTTTTTTGCATTACAAAAGCAAGCCATTTCTAACAGGCCCGAGGCTGGGATCTTCATGAAGGTCTCTCCCATGGGTCCTAAATGCCCGGTGCCATTAGCTGGGGGCAATCAGAAGCTCTTGATTTGGCATGTGGGCTGGTGTATTTCTGATGTCCAGGTTGAGGATTGCTGGTTGGAGGAAGTTGATGCCCACAAGAGCTCAAACCGCTAAGGGACTGATGGGAGATTGTGACCCACACACTGATTTGAACTCTTCATGTCACAGCACTGGGAGGAACTGGTGTAAACCATTCCCTTATGTGTTTCCCATTTCTCTGGACTTGGTTGCTCCAAGCCTACTACAGCTGCTTCCTAATGCAATACTAAAGAAAATGCATAGGAGGTACTATCAGGGCTGGATTCTGCCCTTGCTAAAGCCCAAGAGAGAAGGGGATATTTGCACTTTTTCTGCCTATTTTATCCCTGTTAGGTGTCTGAAAAGCATTTGCTACCAGCCCCAAGCTGCAGAGATAATTAAATACTGTACCAACCAAAGTGCTAAAAGATGAAAACTTGCGTGTTTCAGTGATATTGCATGGAACATTACTTAACATAGGTAAGCAGATCCTGTAATTAGGAAAGTACCAACTTGCACTCATATCCTCCTTCTGCTTAGGCATCCCACCACGGGTAGGTTGCCCTGCTGTTCGTGGCTTCTGAGTTCCTTGCACTGGGCTGAGAGTGCTTTTTCCACTGACTTTGGTGTACCACTATTTTGTATCCTCAATGCAAAGGCTCTTTTTTGCTTCTTTCTTATTCGTGGTTTTATCTTGCCTCATATAAGGACCGTTGGCCTCTGAGCTCTAATGCTGGAGCTGTTTCTTCTGCGTTAATCTCACACAACAGCCATCCTCCCGAGCAGGCTATATGGTATGAAGTAGGTCCTTTCCCATGACTAATGAATAGTTGGGACAGCATGAAGCACTGATGGGGCACGGTTACAGTCCTGCAGCTGTAACCCATTGCACCCACCATGGGGGACAGCCACCGTTGGAGCCTGCCTCCAGCGTCACCATCCCCACGGCATCGAAGCTCCACTGCAAGTCAGTGTTTCCCAGCACCATGGTTTCTGCACGCTCTGCCCAGTGCTATAACAGGCACGCTTGTATGCACCAGTTAATTTTCTTTCTTACACCTCCAGCCTCCGTCCAGATAAATTTATTTTTTTAACTCAGAAATACATTTGTTGCAAGTCAGATGCCAACAGCTCCCGATGCCAAGAAGATGCAGTGCTCCTTCTGCTTGCTCTGTTTTCCTGTGAACTTCATCACTTTTTGCTTGTTTCTCTGTGACCTTTGGAGCCCATTCAAAGTCATCTGCCTTTTGCTTTGATTTAATTTCAGTCCCGTGCATGTTGCCAGCTGATTTGTTGCCTGTTTTTACATATCGCGAGCAAATCACCACCTCTCATATTGTTTAGACAGTCATCAAATCCAGGCTTGCCAGCTCTTTTTGTTAATGGGCTAGGAGGGATTGTTACATCTAGCTGATGTGACCAGAAAGGGACCAGAAAGCTGCTTAATTCCAGCTAACAAATCTTTAAAGCCTAATGTGGGACTTCTGTGGCCTCTGTTGTGGACCCAAGGTCCGCCTGTATGTCTGCTGTACCTCATCTTTCCGCTGATCAGCAGGGCACTTCAGCTACCGCAAGCACTGGCTCCACTGTGCTGGAAATGTATCCCTCAAGTTGTTCCGTCAGAGATTTGGCTTCTGCTGGTTCTGAGATGGGGACAGTTTTTATTGTAGAGCTGGGTGGGACCTCCTGGGTCCTCTCCTACTGCTGGTCAGATCTTGCCCTGCAAACATCCGTGCCCTTGCTTAACAGCACAGGTAAGTCCAGCCCCTGAAGGAAGTGGGGCAGTTTATAGGCTTAGCCATGTGCAGGATGAGGGCCTTATTTTGCTGTCCTGCATTCAAGTCTTGAAGTATAAAGACCGGCACAGGGTTGTGGGCCACGTGTAGCAGAGAAGCTCCCTCGAAGAGGGCTAAGCTGCACTGGGCACCCAAGAGCCCAGGGTGCCTCTCACCCTGCCAATCCACTGCCACAAAACTGCTCGCAACCTATGTGTTTGTTAGCAACAGCAGGGCGGTGGGCTCCAACCCTGCCTTGTTCTGCATGGCTCAGCCCCCGCAGGGCTGCACAGCCAAATACTGGGGGAACTTTAATGTTCCTCCAGGTCATCAGAGCAGCCAAACAGGCTGCGGAGGTCGGGGATCAGTCCTGGCTTAACTTCGATATGCTCTCTTGAGCGCTATCTGAATCTCAAATGCACCATGTCTGCAGTTACGTATCTGATCCAGATTGAAGCTCGTTTGCTTGCACAGCCTTGCAACAGAGAGCTCAGTTCAAGCTCGGTAACTTACTGTTCACCAAGGTTTTGCATTTTGCACTGAGACCTATGCTGCTACCATCACCCACGATGCCAAGTCAGCCCACACATCCTCCTGCCACCCATGGAGTCATGCGCTCCAAAGCAAAGCCTGGTAACGCCACATCTGGGAGGGTTGCAAACCCCAGAGGGGACAGCCGCTTACACATCCCAGGGACCCCGGCGCAACCAGCCTGCACGGTTTACAGCGTGTTGCAGGCGCATCTCAAACTTCGCATGAAAGGCTGAGGAAAAAGGCACCACCAGAGCCCTGGGGCTAGAAAGCAGCCTGGGACAGGCCCATCTCTCGTTGTTCCAGTGCCCACGTGTGGCCAAGCCCCGAATCTTTTCCTCTTTTGGTTAATTGCATCCAAGTGCAGGGCAAACTTTGCAAAGAAAGCAAGTGTCCTCTGCTGGCTGCAAGCAAAAAATGCATGTGGTGATACCCTGGCTAGGGACAGCATTGGAGCAGGGATGTGTTCTGTGGAGTTTCTGACCTGACTTTGCTTTAAAGGTGGACGATAAACCAACCATGAAACAGAGCTACAAGCTGGCTGCTTGCAGCATGGACAAAGGAAGGGGGTCAGGGTCTCTGCGCCTTCAGGCTGCGGGTACAGGGCAGGGTGCAGCCCTTCTCCCTCACAGCCCCATTGCTGGTGGGGAAACCCTAAGTGGGTGCCCCGGTGCAGCCCAGGTAAGGCCTGAGATGGTGGAGGCTGGAAAGGGGGCAGCTGCACAAGAGGGGCAGGATTTCCGAGGTGCCCAAGGCACAGGAGCAGAGGAACTCTTCACCAGCACGAAGCACATTTTGGGCAGTGCCTGAAGAAAGGACGTAAGAGCAGGGGCCAGAATCCAGCATGCGTTTGTTCTCTGTGTTTCTGAAATAATCCCTCAGAGATCAACAGGGTTTCACATCTTTCCCCATCTGTTCTTAATCTGTTTGCTTGACAGATGCCAAACCACCATACCCCGTATGGAAAAACACAAAAGAAAATACAAAGCGTCATATCTCCTCTGGTTTTATTCAGAAACGTTCCCCGGAGCCTGGCTCTGCTCATGCCCCAGGCGTGTGTAGAGGCCCAGGGAGGAACCTGCACCCGGGACAGATCTGCTGTCAGCAGGGTTTTCACAGCAAGGCCCAGAGAAGGGGTGGCCAGGGCACAGGCTGTATCTGATGGAGCAGCTTTGTGTTTATGCAAACCCGATGACTCAGGTTGGTGATTATCTGCTGCTGGCATCCCTCTGCTGCCAAGAAGCCTCTACCGACATCGCAGTCCTGTTGTTCCAGGCGCTGCAGACTTGTCCAGCCAGAGACAGTCCCGGCCAGGCAGGAGGTGGGCAGAGAGAGGGGAACTGCCTTGCTAAAGGTCACAGAGCAGATAGGGCCAGAAGGAAAACCAGTACCCTGAACCCCCCAAAGGCTCTAGTCAATTGGTCAAGCAGCCTCTCATCCCAGTGTTATTTCAGAGTTCATCCCTGCAAAATCTGTTGAGGACGTGAGCAACAGCATTTTAATGGTACCCATTAATACTTCATTTAAGGCTGAGACTCGGTGACTACAGCACTGTCATTATCAGTGCCTGGACTGAAACATCTCTGATAATAAATAATACAGGATAACTCCCAACATCTAAAATTATTCTGTCCTAAACTGTTCCCATCCTCATCCTGTCGATCAGAAGGTCTGAGTGTTTGCAACAGTTCATACAGTAAATGGACTTTAACTTTCTTCTTTCCAAATACTGAAACTGGCTCTTTTCAGGACACTACCATGTAATTTACAGCTTTATCACCAACTCCTTAACAGTTGCCAGGTTCTTTGGAGTCCTTTGAAAGTGAACACAATAAAAAGATAGGAGCCAAGACTAACCACAAGTTTCACGTCTGCAGATTCCTACGTGCCTTTTTTGGTCTTTTCAGCAAGCTAATGGAACCAACTCAGTATCTTCAAGGCAAGATGATGAAGTTTTAGAGTTCCCCTGACTAGTAACAACAGAGAATTGATACAGCTTTACAGCAGCCAAATGCCAGCACATCTTTACATCTCAGCTTTACCATTAGCCTCAGGTAAAAGAGGGAAGGGAGAGATTTCCTCTTTGCATATCATTTGCTTAATCAATCTGAAACACAATCCTGCCAGCCTGAAAACAGGTTTGAAACAGTGACGGTTAAACACCTGTGCAATTTGTCCATTACCCCAAGAATGGGGTATTTATATAAGGTTTGGATGAGCAAAAAGGAAGGCTGGGAAAAGATTCAGCAGCTCTGATAGGAGAGGGAAAATGGCACTGCCTTAGGCTGTTAACATCACAGCATGCCCTGCTCTGTTCAGACACTGCTTCACACCAGTGCAAGCCTATGTTAATTCAATAAATGAAAACGTTCTGTGCCTCCTCAGTTTGGCAAAGGTAGGATTTGGGGTGAAGGAGATCTCCTTTGCTTACTCTGCATGTTTTGCCAGTATCCCCCAACTCCCTGAGACGTCAAGAGAAAGATCAACGGAGTGAAACGTAACCTCGGAGAGAAACACAGTATTTTTCAAAATGTCCTCACAGCGGCAATCATAATAAAAATACAAACCTGAGGTTTGTAAAAATCTAGCAATAAAACCACAGACATCTTTACAACTCCCAGATACACAGTGCTCCCCGGCAGCAAGCACAAAAACCCTCCCTGATGCAAGAAGCAAAACTGTAACTGCGGAATAGGCCTAATTGTTTTGCAGCCTGCAAAAAAAAAGGCCACACATGACACCAATTCACAGGTCATTACCAGTCACCATCAGGGAAGATACAACAAAATCCCTTCATTTTTCCTCACCTTGAGACCATGGAGCAGCTGAGTTGTATGGAGGTGGAATGCTACACTTACAGGCAAGTGCGTGGTTTAGGTTCATAAAGCAAGCTCAGATCTTTGTGCTGTTTCCTGGTCATGTGAAGCCCTTTTCTTTGCAAGCCAGATTATAGGCATCTGTACTTCCCTAGCTAACAGTAAGCGTGTTCTGTTCCACCGGAATAGAGATCATCTCTCTTAAAACGTGAGGCAGGCCCTCGGGCAATGTAGCTCAGCTTCCCACTGTGCTCTGGCAGGTTTGTTAGTATTTCCATGCCTTGAATCTCCCATTGGCAAATGGAATCCCGTATTTCTCCCACTCTTTGTCCAACAAGGTTTAAAGCTCTTCACGTGGGCACTGCTTATTATGAGGAGGCAATGGAGGACTGTGGCAGCAGAGGGCTAGTTGTGTGCAAGGTGGTCAGACTCACCTGAGTATTGAGCAGGATTATAAAGCACAGAGCACGGTTGGTGGAGGACTTTCTGGACCCCCGGCAATCGTTTAGCCTAGTACTTTCTTATGTGCTTGACTTTACTCTTAGGTACAGCCAGGATTTTGCCTTGCCCACCTGTTTGCCTGTATTGCTGGGGGAGGCAGGCACCAGCCTGCTGAGATGATGGTACTGATTCAGCTATTGACAACTGCAGTGACTTGTCTTTTCCTCTGTCTGCCATGGAAATGAACCCATGTGGTAGCAATGATGGGAAATTACTCAGAGGAAAAAAAAAAAAATTCACTGTAGGCCAGGCTAGAAAGTCCAGAGTAAACACAGCCTCAACCTAGTACCGTACGACTGTCAAGTCATGTTGCAGGAGGTTTCTTGATGCTGATAATTTAACGATTCTTTGCCCCAAGGGTACATGTCCCACTGTGAATCTGCTTCTCCAACGCCACTTCATCACTGACCTGAAAGGCAGCAATCATGGCTTGTTTGTAAATGTATGTGACGAGAGCCGATGCATGGCAATAGCTACAGCACATCTAGCCGGTCTGACAAAATGGACAAGGTCTGTATGTGTTTTGCTCCCTGAACATAGAGGTCACTGGCCTTTTCCCTGATGATCTCTGATAGAAAATGGTAGGCAGAGCCTGGGCATACATATATAAAGCTGTCAGTGATTACTTGTATACTTACACTAGATTTTTTATTTTTTTGTAAAAGCCTTAAAAAACAAAAGAAAATGCAGATGTCACAGGTCTTCTTTTGCACTAGAAGAAAATGTTTGTTCTTCTTCTCTTATTTCTAGGCTATTCACAACTTGTCCGTTGTCTTTTGTGGACTGATTGTCTAAGTTTAGCTGCCTAGTTGAAGAGGTATTTGAAAGCTG